TGAGACTGCAGTTCAACAGAGAGATTTCCAAGAAAAAGTGGAAATGGACCCAGTCCATAAAGAATTTGAAAATGAAGTTGCACTCCCTCCACTGCAGAACACAAGCTCTGGTGTTGCTCTTGATAATGTGGATTCTTCTGTCAAGACAGAGATTGTGGATAGTAATGATTCAGCTGTGGTTAGTAGCCACAACAGTGTAAACCTGGAGGAGATTATAGCTAAAATAGAAGAAACCATGGAGTGTCCAGTTCTAATGGAACCTCCTCTAGAGAAGGAGGTGGTCGGACAGGATGAAACTGCAGTACCAACCCAAAGCTTATCTGAAAACAAAATTGTAGTGTGCGTGGAAGAGGTGAAAGATGAGTGTCCTGTGTTGGATGAAAAAGCTAGTGAGGTAAATAAGCTTGAGCTGGAACCTGTTCCCCAGGGAACTGTGTTGAAATCTAAAGCACCAGTGAAACGGGTCACATGGAATTTACAACAGGAAGAAAGTGATGTGTTGGCTGCAGAGAAAACACCACGTAAGGTTTTTGATGTCTGTATGTGTTGGGGAGGGAGGGGGGATGGGTTTTTTTTGTTTTGTTTTGGGTTTTTTTGAGAAAACAGTATGTGGTGTGTACTACCTAAGGGACCATGTCAAGGAAATAAAAAGCCTCATCACACACTATTGCAGTCAAGTCCTTAAGATTTTCAAAAATGACCAGCAATACGCACTGTTAATCCTACAGTCTAAGTGGGGTTTAACTGAATTTTATTCCTTGCGCATCAACAGAATTGTCTGGCAGCTTCCAGTGGCTGGCACAAGGATTCGGGGATCATGACTGAATGGCAGTAGGATTGCGCAGTGTAGTTAAGGATCCACGTTGTTTTACAGGGCTTTCTCACGGAGAGGAATTATGATGGGAAGAATCAACAAGGCTCTTGAGCCAAGCTGAGTTTGCAAGGCTAGGGGAAAAATAGTCTTTTTTTTTTTTTTTTTTTTACTTAGCACCTTTGATGTAGAAATTGATTAAGAACATATAAACATTGGTGGTAGCACTGTTAGCTTTTTCAGAGTAGAACCACATCAGAAATAACATCTTAAGTCTTCTGAGAGAGTGCTGAGTAGTTAAAAAAATTCAGACCCTTCTGTTGTGGTTCAGATTACTCGCCCAACATCAATACTTGCTTCTGAAAAATCGGGCTAGTCTGTTTAGTCAGGTTTTTTTGCTTGTAAATGATTTTGAATCTGTGACCTCATGGGTTTATTACCATTCTTAAAAGCCTTTTTTTCTCCCTTCCCCTCCTCCCCCCTTGCTTCTCTTGGGAAACTCTAGGGGTGCCGTTTTACAAACTACAGAGAGCAAAAGAAGGGGCCTGGAAAGCAGAGGACTTGAACCAAACATTAAATCAGGTGCAGTTAAATGAGCCTCCTCCAACCAATTATATGATTCCTGTGCCTATGTTTCCTGACCTAGATTCCTCTCAGGTTGGTTCCCACTCCCAAAGCAAAGTGTCGTGGAAGGCCATCCCACCTCATGCGTGACCTCGTTGTGCCTCACCCCCTTCCATTGCAGAATTCTCCTCCTCCCGCGTGCAGTACATTTCATACAGCCCATGCACTTCCGCAAAATCCACTAATTGTTTATTCCTTCAAGCAGTCCTCACTTGCAATTGGACGAAAACAAAAAGCACAGCCCTTCATATTGCAGTATACTTCAGCTTCCATTTGAGTAGCATTGATTTGCCAAAATATCTTGCTTTTTTTTCTTTTGGAGAAGCTGGAAGCTAATAAATTATTGGGCTGGCCTTTTTATTTTTATTTATATATTTATTTTAAGAAAAAGCTCCCTATCCCTGTCCTTCTGTACTGCCTACTAGTGAAGAGCAGGAGTCACATTGGCTGCTGGAACACAGAAATGTAGCTAGGGGATGGACCCTTAGCCTTTTTGACTTAAACATCTGCTTAGCAGCTATCGCTTCCCTGTTTCAGTGGATAAAAGCTGCTGTTAGAAATCCCTGAACTTTGGATCTGAAGCCTAAGTTCCAAGTGTTTCCTAAAAGATGTCTCTGTTTCACAGGTGTACAATCAAAACATACCTTTAACTCCACCTCTGCCTTCAAGTCTTCCACCCTACGCACCCGTCAGTCAGCCCACGGTTCAGTTTATAATGCAAGGCAGTCTTCCTCTTCTTGGATCTGTGGCAGGACAGAATTTGACTCCAGAGCCGGGCAGCCTAGTGACTGCTTCCGAGCCAGGAATTCAAGCTGCCTCGGTTGGAAATGCAGAAGAGAAAATTAAAGCACTTAAGCCTCCGGTGGAGAAAACAAAAAATGAAGAAGTGAGTGATTGCTCTTACGTAAACAAGCAGATACCTAGGATAATGTCCCTAGGCTGTGCTAATCTAATTGGGATGTCATCATAATTTATGAGCAGCAATTCGGTCATTTGTCTGTATCACCCAAAACGAGAGAGATGAGTGAGTTGTCCTGTTTTGAACTCTCTTGTTAGGTAGCAGCTGTTATTTCATGTTGTGTGACTTCACTTCTCTGGCCCCTGTTGCTGTGGTGGCCAGCTTTGATCATTGGTGCTGTCACGGGGCACTGGACCAATGTTCCTGTAGCTTATGCGTCTTGCTCTGTGACACAACTGTTGAGTTATCTGGTCCCCTCCTAGAACCCTGCCGTATTTACTTATGCTCCCAAGTTCCTGTTTGGGCATTATGAGTAGTTATGTGTTGCTGTTTGGCTCCTGTTCTTCAGAGGTGGAGCCCTGTGTCTTCACAGCCTTCTGTTCCTGGGTTTTCTAATGAAACTAAGGTTAAGGACAATCTTGGGGATACATTGTTTTGAAATCACCCAAATGCCTCCCTGCAGAGAGACTTTGAAGTGTTTCAAAGTGTAACAAGGCTTGAAACATTTTTTAAAAAAATGATGCATTTCAACTGCAGACACACATACAGCCCCCTGCTGTGCCTCTGCCTGCTGCCAAAGTACTCCAGAATCACTACACCAGCATGCAGTGGCAGTGCTTCCCAGCTAGGGTGTGCAGTAGAGGGTTGCTGTCGTCTTCAGCTCTGCTCTCCCCCCTTCCTCCAACAAGGCCATGAATGCAGTGAACAGTCAGTAAGTGGTCTCTGTACCCCGGTTGCTGATGCTACCCCACAGGCTCCTGGCTCTTGGGGCACCCACAGTGCTCAGCGTGCCAGGAATAGATGGGGGGGAGAGGGGGAGTGCACTGCATTGTGGGATGCCTGGAGGACCAATCTGCCATACACATATAAGGTAAAACATTAGAAAATGAAGTGGTACAAAATAGTACCTGCTCCTTCCAGGTACAGTGTTTATCAAGCATTGGAGCATTTCATTGGGCATCCCTGTGTGCTCATCTTTTGAAAACATTTTAAAGCAGTTTGAAATGTTTCAGATATGTCTGTCCACAGCCTCATGAAACCTGTGTAATTTAAAACCAAGAAGACTGTTTTGCCCATTGTTCACACACAAAGATTGTATCAGTCATGTTTTTTACCTTAAACCAAAGCAAACTTGAAATTTTCTTGCCAGAGAGTTTTCAGAAGGCAGTTTTTTAAATGTGGTATGTTTTACATGTGGAAAAGTATTTGTGGAAGCCAGAAAGTTAAACTTGTATAAATGCCCAATTTAATTCCCTTCCATTTGGAAATGGACATAATTTCCTACAGTGAGAATATTGTCTGTACAGGATAGAGCTATGTAATAACGTTGCCTATTCACACCTTTAAAATTTTGGTACAGAAAAGTTTGAAATACTTAGTCAGTTTGTCAGGTACCGAGCAAGTGCCTTGTTGCTGAATTTTTGAGTTTCAGAGTGAATCCAGCCATCTAAGCTCAGGGTTGAGGTAATTCACACAACTCCTAAAAGCTTTTCTTTCAAATTTGTTGCTATCTACTGTGCAGAAACAAGCTTCTCAGTACTGCACATTCAGTTTTGAGCAGTAGAGGTATTTTATGCAGTGTGAAATGAACATGTTGCAAAAGAGTTTTATATGGTGCTTTGCAGTGATCTGTAATGCTTTATTTTGGAGATCCCTTCCTAGTAATAATCTTCTTGATGTAATAACACTATTTTCAGTGTTGTCTTCCCAGTGGTGATTTGCCTTTTAGGTACCTTTTAGGTACTCCTTCAGTGCTTACTTCAAGTTGGAGGCTGGTGCATGGTAGGGGTGGTGACTTCAAAAACTGGAAGAACTATTATCAAATGCAGTGGCATCTTCATAAAATAAGTTTTTCCTGATGTAGGGTTTTGTAGAATGGGAGTTGCTGTTGTGATCTTTTGAAACAATGTGTGCCTTTCTTTCGCAGTACTGATTAGTCTCATTTGAAGCCCCAAAGTCCTAGAATACATTATCTTTGTTTTAATTGTCCACTCATTTCTGACATGGAAAGTTTCTTACAGAGAATCTTGAGTAACTCGTTCTTCTTGCTTTGCAGTACATGAAGAAATTACATATGCAGGAGAGGGCTGTGGAAGAAGTGAAACTTGCCATTAAGCCCTTTTACCAGAAGAGGGAGATTACCAAGGAGGAGTACAAAGATATTCTCCGAAAAGCAGTCCAGAAGGTAAAAAGATGGAGAAGCTGTTTTAAAACAGGAAAGATAGGCTGCACTGGAAGGAAGGGATTTGGTTCTACTCAGAGCTGTCATAGTTATGTGCTGTAAATATGGCAGATTCTTGGAGCCAAAAGGGATCTTGCAGGGTTTTGTGTACAAGAACTAGGTGTTCAAGGCTGGACTGGTAGTGTCACCAGTTAAGGTTTTTAACACTTCCTACTGTAAACCTCTCTTTTTAGTTGCTTGAAACTGGCAAACATCTACTGTCTGGACTGAAATTGTACATGCTAAGTGTCTGATTTTTGGGGGGTGGGGAATCTCTCCTGGAGAATTTCAGCCAAAGCAGGTTCAGCTGTTTGAGAGCAGGGTTAGAGAGAAATGTTTTGCATATGTTAGATTCTGGTGATCATTTCTTTGAATATCTCTTGTGCCTTTATGGTTTGGAACAAGGACTTGAAATTTGGCTGGCCATGGCCTTTGCTGTCCGTGTGAAAATCCACCCAACTGAGCCAAGGGACAAGCCTTGGAAAATTGTGGTCCATATGCAGAGTAGAAAAATACTGATTTCAGCA